TATAGATAGATAGACACACCCACACGCATTGACACATGCAGATCGATAGGTATAAATAGTTAGATTAGACAGTTTAGATTGATGGATCGATGGATAGATACATAGACACACATACTTAAGAGTGGACATATACATATATATGCGTGCGCGCATCCACACACCCACGCCCACACAATAGAATAGATCGAATTACATACACAGACATATACACACAAACACATAATTGAGCAGTGATTTGTTTGGAATATGTTGTATACTATGCGTAGAACTTAAAATAACAATAAAGCATAGTTGATAAGACCGAAAAATAAATAAATAAAGAATTATACTCATACTCATTACAATAACAATAATAGTAATAATAATAATAGTTAGAACACCAGTAACAAATGAAATCTTCCCGCTTATCGTCGACATAGTTACCAAAAAAGACTGAAACCAAAAAGAATGAGAAACACTCCGGGGTAGAAGAAAAGAAACGGTTTATCGATAATGAGATAAATAAATAATTGCCATAATAATAATAATAATAGTAGACACTGAAAGATTTGAACTCTGGGAATGATTTACCCGTAACGTCATACACATTTAAAATTCTACAGGCGAAAACCATTAACAAGTTGATAGAAGAAGCGGCAGTGAAGATGGGGATTCCGATGGACATAGAAAAGACAGAGGTGATTGAGATACCTGTCCGAAAAGCAGTGACGGCAACAAGCATCAGTCACTATCAACGGGAGAAATTTGAAAGCGGTCACCTCTTACGCTGAAACCGACTTGGCCAGCGTCGTTTCAACTACAGAAAGATAATATTTATGAGGATGTTGAAGCTAGCCGGGTTCAGTAAGGTGAGAAAGAGTCACATTAGTGTGAAACAGAATCTAATTTCCTACAGAAATGCCAAGTTAGTCAGTGCTTCTGGATGGTTCAGAGACTCAATGCACATGTCAAAAAAAGGTAACACGATATTCTGGCAAACGTAACGTAGCTGCAAAGAACCTACAGCCCAACAAAAATATGTAGAAGAAAAGGCATTGACCAAAGGGTTACTCTTTTCAGAGATGTCATTCTCAAGCTACACAATCACACATATACGATGCAAATTTTCTTAGCAACAAGAGGAGTATTTTCAAGTATTGGTTTTGTAGGGATTTTTGTTTCATTGGATGGAGGATTTCATCATGACAACCCCGATGGGTGATGTTATGTTGCTGCTGCTGAGTGGTTAATAGTGGTTTTCCCCGTCGCCAAATTGTTATGTACTCGTCGCTAAATTACTGTTATGTACTGGTCGAGAATTTAATAGTCCTGACTCAAGAAGACGGAAATCAGAAGACCACTAGGTTTGCAATGATACTTCTATTTTCCAAAACACAAGGAGAAGCAATAAGTGGTATCACACCAAAGTAAGTAGGTAAGTCACACAAGATTGTGTGGGAGCGAAATATATATGACCATCCAGACAAGTGTGTGAACAATCAATAGACAGTCTTAACATAAAATTGGCTAATTATAATGAAGTATCGATCCATATATACATAGCGAAATATAACAGACATGTCAACAACCACCATATATGGATACATGTCACCAAGCAACGGACTGTCAACAAACACTCATATTATATTATATATAATATAAGGGGAATATACATTGTTAAAGGAGACAAGTTCATACAAGTGAAATGGTCACAGACTAAGAGAGCAAATAGAAAGAGAGACCAACATACACACACACACATAAATTTATATATGTGGATACATATCAGGTGAGTACTGATGAAGAGTCCCAAACAAGGACGAAGCAGCTGTCCAGTACTCCCAGGTTTTCCAGCAGTTCTCTAACTGATGTCAGCTCATGATTAAATCCTCCATGCAATCAAACAAAAATCCCTACAAAACCAATACTTAAATTATATGTGTCCAAACCAAGTTCTCTTTTAACGGTTTGAAAAAATTTGGGCATTGGATGGTATATGATATTCATTATAATAAAGGTTTTCTTGTATTTCCCAATGAATGAAAAAACAAAACGAGATTGTTTTTACTGACGATTTTGTAAATTCCAGTTTAATAATACTTTGAGAAAGCAGCCATTAGCATTAAATAGCGAAACGTTAGTAAAAACCATCTCGTTTTGTTTTTCATTCATTGGGAAATACAAAAACCTCTATTATAATGAAGTAGAAACTAAAATTAAATAAGTAAATTAAATTAACAAAAAGATCCCCACCCGCTACAGCTGTATCCTGGAACATCTGATCGAATCTGGATATCAATCCAATCCACGAAAGAACTTCAGAGTTATCTATGGAATATTTAGGAATTTTGGTAAAAGGGTATGAATCAAACTTTTTTAAACCTCAGAAGCATTGTCAGCAGTTCATAGGTTATAAATCCTGAACTCTGCATACAAAAGAAGTTTCTTCAGTCAGTAAATCTAAAATAAGCCTGATCTATCCTGACACCAAAACCGAAATTTTTGTGTTTTTTGTTTGTTTCTTAATTGCATTATTTCCTGCCTTCACCGCTAAATTAATTTCTTCTCCTTATTACCTTTATTATTAACTTGACTGTAGAATTGAATTTTTGATTTTCCCGTCGATTGATTGGACCGAAGTGCTCGGTCTCAGGTTGACATGTCGGCTTCTTGTGCAGATGCTTCGACGATGTCTGCGGATTTAATTGGTGTACAATTGGTGGATGGTGGATAGCAGTGGAATCCAGGATAACGCGCATTTCGTCCTATTTAGGACTCGTCAACTGGATGTACCTGCATTTCTCAGTGAGTGATGATGTTCCCACCACCGAGGCTCGAACTTGACTGTAGTTCAAATTTTAGTTGAATTCTACACAAAGCCATCAATTGGTTTGAAAGGATTTGATTTGATTGATTGATTGATTTACAGGATTTCATCATCAGCTGACGACATTGGTTAGAGAACCATTAGAAAACCATCAGGGAGTACTGGACAGCCATTTGTTTCGTCAACCTAGTCTGGGACTCCAACTCAACAGTACACACCCACACTGTGGGTCGGAATCCAGGATCTTCTGTTTGGAAGGCTGGTAAGATACCTCGTAGACCATTATGTCAATCAGTGGGACCTTCCAACTAATCAAAGAAAATCCCTACAAACCATCAATACTTGAAAATTAATTTGGTGCTCACAAGCTACTAGATCTATTCAGATAGGTAGTTATCTGGGTCATAGTGGGAAACCGCGACCAGTAGGGTACAGCAGTTTTTGGGCGGGTGTGAGGACATATACTCGCCGCGGACGGCAGTGGTTAGTGGTCACGCTAACATAACTCGAACTCTAACCAATCATACAAAAGCCCTACAAACAAATACTTGAATATTCAGATTACTCCTGTCTGTCTGCCTGCCTGCCTGTCTGTCTGTCTGTCTGGCTGGCTGGCAAGTACTACTGGTTGATTTGAGTGATATAATACTACTCATGTCAGATAATCAGTAGTATATAACACCACGCAACTCATCTCCTGGACTTAAATGTAAAATGCCGAATTAATACCATCGTATGCGACTCTGCACGAAACTTACATATATACTTGGTGCTCGGAGAATTTGAAATCAGATTTACGAACGAAACATTTGGATTATTGATTCCAATATCTCTGAGATTTAAATCAATACTTGAAAATTGATCTGATGCTCACTGGAGACTGGTCCTATCTGGGTTCTTGTGGGAAGCCGTGACCAGAAGAAGGGAATGGTGTCAGGAGGTGGAGGAGGAGGTGGGAGACTGGGGGCAGTCGTAAACTGGAGAAAATAGGAGAAAGTGGAAATGTGTTGTTGAAGCAGTATGTTCTAGTCGGAACCGAAGAGAATAATAATAGTAATAATAATATAGTGATGTAAACGATTTCTGTCGCCATAAGTAACTTTACGGATTGTTAAGTTTTCGCCAATTACAGAGGTCATTGAAAACCAAGCCGCACTGGACAGCTGTTTCGTCATAACCTGGGACTCTTCGACCCTGCATGCCTATGTCGCCTCCATTGGTATAACCTGGGACCTTCAGGTTACTAGAGCAAGTTAGTTAACTGTTCAGTCATTTGGCCTGGAGTTCAACGACCCTTGGGTTCTAATTTTGTCAACTCGTGATAAGGCGGTGAATTGAGAACTTGTGATCAGAGGGTTCTACCATGTCAACCTGTGAAATGAATGTCCATTGAAAGCACTGGTGATGGCAGGGCTGTATCACGAGATGATATAGGTAGAACTCTGGAGTCATTGAAGTCTACCCCCAATTGCTTAAATATGCAATGAGTTTTACCTCGTAACCTAAGGGTCCCAGATTTGATCCCTGGCGAATAAGATAGTTGATGTGAAGTGGTGAAGAGTTTCAAAATAGGACGAAACAGCACTAAGTCCAGTGTTCCCCATTGGTTTTCAGTAATCGGTTTAACTAACCAGCGTTAGTTTGTAAGACTTATCTGAAATACCCACAAATTCCATAATCTGAAGAGTGTCCATTCCAAACCACCACTTTTGTTCAGGAAACTGATATTTTTTAAGTTGTCAAGTATTTAGAGCCAAAAACAAATCTATTTTACCTTCAAAAACACAAATCTTTAATCCTATTGGAGGATTATGCTGAGTTTGATTGACATTTTTAATAATGCGATTGGTTGAATAACGACTACTAATTTATAAGCCAATCAAATCGCTCAGATTGGAATGAGAGACGAATGAATCACATTTCGTCTTTTTATTTTACCAAATCTCTCTTCTGATTGGTTGAAATTTTGTCCGGAAGTTTTATTTTCGTCTCTCTCTCTCTGTCTCTCTCCCTGTTCCACCACCACCAACACCACCACACCACTACTACCCTCCATCTTGTCCACGAGTTGCTTAAATTATTATCGCATTTTTAATCGGTTTCCTTTACTTTTTCTAAACAGATTTGGACAGAGACAAAAATTCTTTTGATGACTCAGGAAAAGAAGCATTGAACAACGTATATATGTATAAAAATGCTTGGTACTAATCGGCAGTACGTTTTGGATGATAAACACTTCAATATGTCAACAACACCAACGACGGCAACTGCCACACAGAATTGGACAAATTGTGATATGAATTCTATGAACAGTAATAGTGGTAGTTGTAGCACCGACAGTACTGGAAGCAGTCGTGGGAGTAATAGCAGTTGCGGCAACAATAGTAGCAATAATAATGGTAAATTCGATTCACATTCCAATGGTAGTACCAATGCAGTAGTACCCGCATATAACGCGTATAACCAGTATACCCTACAAGCATTGAATAGCCATACATCTATTAATACACCAGTCACCGGTATTAATACTATGACAAGTACAAAGTCTGTTGAAATACTCACAAATACAAGTAGTACACAATTGGGTGGACCCGCATATTTTTTCATTAATACCACTACCACTAATAATAATAATAATAATAATAGTAATAATTCTTACCAAAGTAACTATGATCCATTGGCTTCAGATAATATCCCAAACAATCGTCAAATACACCTACCGTCGATTCAGTCGGTGAATCATTTTGTCAAACATGAAGATCACCATGAGAATAGAGATATACTGTTATGTAATCCAGCTTGTACTTATACATCTCCATCAGAGAATATCAACGATAATCTATCGATTGATGATACGCCAAAGAAATCTGTGCCCTTTCTACCTCCTCTCACAGTTTCTCATCATCATCATCATCATCATAATCCGAGAAATAGCATCAATGATGAACAATGCAAAAAGAATGCCTACAAAATGTATAAAAATGTTTATGAGGACAGTGATGCCGCCAATGGTTCTACCAATGGTATTGATTATTTGCCTTCAATTAATCCAGATTCTTGTTATTTACTGAATTATGGTCAACCTAATCAGATGGGGGTAATGATGCAATCAGATCAAGTGGAACAATGTCCATCACTGTCCACATGTGGTACAGAGTTGAATAGTCTCTCGGAGAACAATCATAGTAACAATACTAATACGACTACCAATAATCATAATAATAATAATAATACTGTCGAGAATACTATTCATCGTAATCCATCTAATGAGAATCCTACCCAACATACTCAACGTCATCTATGGGATATTAAAGACATGAAATTACCGAAGGTAAGAAAGAGAGAGAATTTGTCTGTTGTGATTTTGTATTTATCAATCAGGTTTTGTGATAAATGGCTACAGGCGAAGTTCAACAATAGCCTCCTGGGAGGGAGGCTAACGGGAGGTACCTGTCATAGTATCATAAATGAAATATTACCGCCAATCACCCACTAAAAAGCAAATTTTACCCAGATCATGTTTTTAAGTATTGTGTTGGACAATAGCTCGTTAGGATTGTAATTAGGGTTAGGGTTACGATTAGGGATAGATTTAGAGTTGATGTCATTTATTTTATAATATAGCGAAAATATTCATTCAGATATATGTAAAACACAAAATAATTGAGCAAAGAAGAATATCCACCTTTCGATAAATTCCTCTTCTGGCTCTACAATTAGTTATCTGTATGTTTATATTTATAGAATATTCTAGAATAGTAGTCAATAACAATATTAGTGTTTTTGAAATAATATCAATTTGTTAAGTAAGATCACAATGGAATTACCGCAGTTCATTAAAGATGCTTAAATAATAATAATAATAATAATAATAATAATAAAGACATAATAGCAGATAGAATATCAACTAAAAATAGAAAAATTCCACAAAAATTAATGATCATTGAAACCTTGATGGCCAAAGTAAGGACAGTGTCTGAACTAACAGATACTTTTGGATGCACAAATTAGGCTTGTTAATATGGATCCCAACAGCTGGCCTCAGCAATATTTAGTAGTCGAACTCTTAAGGCAAAATTGAGATTTGTTGGTTGGTATGCGGTAAATGACCCTGAAAGCTGCCTGTTTAACGCCAATCAGTCTTGTGTCCTGTATCCACAAGATGAGACAGAATAACGCTACGAGTGAATTTTGTTTGTCCTTTGCTTAACCACGCAGAAAAACATTGAGAAATCCGACGAGAAACACTGTGCAGCCTATGTAACTTGGTAAACATACATGGAAGAGGCGAAATCAGGCAGTTTTTGTCTTTTACTCCCGAATGCAAAAGAGCAATAGGGAATGCTTTTTTTACCGCCTCATTTCTAAGCCGGTGTGTTAGTATCTCGCTGATGTTGTCCCCAAGCAACTGTATTTGTAAGAAAAAGACCTTTTTAAGAATTATTGGAACATTGAAGTGCTTTGATTTTAGATTCATATTCTTATCAATAAACTTTTCCGGATAACCGTTTTCATTCAGCAACCGTTCAATACTGATAAGTTTCTCATCAAGACATTCATCTGAGTGCATTGCTCTTGCTCCGTGGCTGACCAAGCACTTTATCAGATTGCGTTTGTATTTTAAGGGCACAAAGCTGAAAAAAATGCGTATACTGACCCGTAGATGTAGGTTTTCTATGTAAACACTTCTTCTTATTGTGCCATCCTCTTTTCTCGTCATAAAGACGTCTAAAAATGAAATTCTAGGAGTCTTTTTCTTTCTCAATAGTAAAATTTATTGCTGGATGAACCTCATGAAATTTATCCAGGATGTTCTTCGCTTCCTCCTCCTCATTTTTTATAATCAAAAATGTATCATCCATATACCAACAATAGAATTCGAATGTCATTAATAACATCCTTCAAAGGCCCATTATTTTCTAGTTTTGTAAGGAAAATGTCGGGGCTAGAATGGGTCCTAGTGATGAGTGACCCCATTGCTACACCGTCGATTTGTCCTGTCAATTGGTCGTCAATCGTCTTGCTGGAAACCATAGTCAGTCAACCGAAGGCTTTTGGGGGAAGACTGGACATAAGGATAAAAGGGATAGGCAATTCACAAAAAACGGCTTATCTTCAGTCACCTCGATGAATAATGTACTATGTACAGAAACTAGTCTAACTTGGCAACTGATACGCCTCATTATAACTGGGATGTATTTTTATGTCATGTCAGAGAAAGATCACCCCTGTTTAAAATGTGTTTTCATGCATTTTTTTTTCTTTCTTGTAAATATACGTCATTTTTGTGTGTGCAAAAGTCCCTCATTTTTATGATTGATCGGCTCAAGATCACTCGTACATTCGCATCTATTGAGACACTATTGTTTAGCTCTACCTGGTTTCATTGTAAGACTTTAGCACTGTGGTTGTATGTAATTCCATACCATAATCTGTTGTTATTGGATATCTCCGTAACACATACATGGTGAGACAGTATCGGTTATGAAATTAGATGGTTGAAAGCAATCGGCAGGAGGTCTTGGACACTCACCGGTCAGTTAGCAAGGTGTATCTACAATCGTAAAGGAGTGCATGTCCCTTCTAAGATTCTAATCCTCATCACCCTGTGGTAACGTCTCTTTGATTACAGAGACGACTGGGTGGCGAGTACCAGCTAACACGAAACCTAAGCGCTGTCCAAGGCTTCCTGGGGATTGCCCCCAGGATACTAAGCCAATCAGACATAGTGGCCACATTGCAAACTTGATTGATATATGAAAATTCAGTCTGTACCAAACGAAGAACTACGTATTAGGCGACTGGAGGCAATCAGACACAGGAAGCCTTGGATACCGCCTAGGTTTCGTGGTTAGTTGGTACTGACCATCAGTCATTTAGCAAGACAAGAAGGAATATAAGTTCCTTCGAGGTTGCAGATATACGCCTTACTGACTAGTAAGTGCCAACTGGCACGAAACCGACTGGCTCCAACGACTTAATACCAAGAATTCAAAGTGCACTTCTGCCAATTCACGACAGAAGTTAGAATTCAAGGACCATTGGACCGGGTCCCAGTGGCTTAATGGTATACGAGCTAGCTCGCCTTGTAACCGGAAGGTCCTGGGTTCGAACCCCGTGGTGTGGGTGCGTACTGCTGAAGAGTCCCAAACTAGGACGAAACAGCTGTCCAGTACTCCCTGACTGGTTTTCCAATGGTCCTCTAACTAATGTCAGCTCATGATGAAATCCTGAAACCAATCAAATCCCTACAAACCAACATCTGAATAACGATTTTATTATTTTTCATGATCATATACTACTAGCAAGGCGGTGTAATTATACATAACTTCGAAAGTTGACGCGTACAATTCTCTTTCTTCTTTTCCGTTTATTGATGAAGACAGCGGAGTGGGGTAGTAGAATTTTCTAGATGTTCAAAGTAGGTGTTCAATTGTAGGTTAATGTGGAGATATGTGAATGACACACTCCATTATTGTGGTAAAGTTTGAACATATCTTTCAACTCTCCATGGAATTCACTTCTGAGTTAGAAAATGAACAAGGTGAGTTGACCATGCTAGACTAGACTGTAGAATAAGACGAAAACAAGATGGTGGTGGGGGGTTAGATACTAGCTGGCATTTATAGGGGAAACCGACACACACACACACGCACGCACACTCTAATAAATACTTAGACTTTAATTCATTCCATCCAGAATCGGTAAAGGAAGACAAGTTTATTAGCTAAATGTCTTGATAATCCAAGTCCAAGAGCCTAACTAAGTACACCAGAAGATTTAAATAAGGAAATTAAACAAATAAAGGAGATATTACGAGTGTATAGCTAACTAACTACCCACCAGAATTTATTCAAAAATGCATGAAGAACCATAAGGAAAATAATAATAATAATGAAAAAATTAGCGAAAATAATAATATAGAATTCAAAGTCTGTCTCTGTAGCACTACTGTATAAAGAAGGGACGTCAGAGGCATTACGCAGAATTCTCAGTGAGGTTGAAATCAGGATGGCATTTAAAACGAACCAACTAACTCTCTCAGAGGTATACTTTGTGCGTAGGCTTAAGGACCCAATAAATCCAATTAAGACTGTCTTCACGCAGGTTGAAGATGAGGCAGTAACTCATCGAAGAAGACATTGCGAAATGGTCGCGCTATGTCGTGAATTGGCAGAAGTTAGAATTCAAGGACCATTGGATCGGGTCCCAGTGGCTCAATGGTCTACGAGCTCGCCTTGTAACCAGAAGGTCCTGGGTTCGAATCCCGGTGGGTGCGTACTGCTGAAGAGTCCCAAACTAGGACGAAACAACTGTGCAGCATTCCCAGGTGGTTTTCTCTAACTGATGTCAGTTCATGGAGAAATCACCCATGCAATCAAACAAAATCCCTACAAAACACCAATACTTGAAAATTAATCTGATGCTCACCAGTGACTGGACCTATTCAGGCAGTTAATCTGAGGTTCTAGTAGGAAGCTGTGACTACAGTAGGGTAAAACAGGTTGAAGGTGAGGCAGTAACTCATTGAAGCAGAAGACATTGCGAAATGGTTGCGCTATATCGTCAATTGGCAGAAGTTAGAATTCACGGACTGGCTGGCCATTGGATTTGGGTCCCAGTGAGAATGGCTTAATGGTCTACGAGCTAGCTCATCAGCCTAGTAACCAGAAGCTCCTGGGGTTCGAAGTCTGCTGGTGAGTGCATACTGCTGAAGAGTCCCAAACTAGACTGACGAAACAACCGTCCAGTACTCCCAGTTGGTTTTCCAGTGGTTCTCTAACTTGATGTCAGCTCATAGTGAAATCTCCCATGCGATTTTTTGGAAATTAAAACTTCAGTTATCGATCTCTCCACTTCCACTTTGTTACAAATGCTGCTACAGGACTGGACCACGTCAACTCCTAACTTAGTGATAGGGAGTGAAGTGATAGAACATGTTGACCACTTCACCTATTTGGGAAGTTGTATTAGCACCAACGGACTGATTGGCGATGAAATCTCAGCACGGGTCCGAAAAGCTCGAGCTGCTTTCGCTGACTTACACCACCTCTGGCGTAGGCGTGACATCCGGTTATCAACCAAGGGACGTATGTACTGCTCAGCAGTTCGCTCCGTCCTTCTCTATGGCTCTGAAACATGGCCAATACGCGTTGAAGACATGAAAAGGTTGACTGCTTTCGATCATAGATGTCTGCGATCTCTGTCTCATGTTAGGTGGTATAACAAGCTAGTAAGTAATGTTGACGTTAGGCGTAGAGTGTTGGGCAAAGAGGGAAAATCAATCGACGAGGCTATAAAGTTACATAGACTGAGATGGCTAGGTCACGTGCTGTGCATGCCTAACCACCGCCTCCCCCGACGGGCATTGCTAGCTGATATAGGTGCAGGTTGGAAAAGAGCCAGTGGTGGCCAAACAAAAACATGGCATCAATCCATGAAATCCTTGACAGTTAAACTGAGTCAGGTAGGGAGATGCAGACTCCCGGGTTGGGGGCCTCGGGACTCTAGGAATCAATGGCTGGAGACAATAGGTGACATGGCTCAAAATCGTTGTCAATGGCGCAGATGTATTCAATCTCTGTAATCTTTCATATTCCTTTCTACCATTAGCCATTCTGTTTCACTCTTATACTTGTCAGACTGTATTGATTCTCTTCACTCATCTTCTTGTCTACCTCTGTGTGCTATTTGGAAGGTGGCAACTCGAACTGGTGCACTTCGGTGCCAAGTTCTATGTTGAATCCAGACAGAGACAGACAGACAGACAGACTTTGTTACAATAGATTGTAGATCTATTGCCTTGTCCATCTTATTGTATGCTTATGTGAAATTATATAAAATCTTCTAGACTGAGTTGTTTTCTAGATTTTGACAAGTTTTTGTAGCCAGGTAATTTAGGTATACTTCAAAAATGTAATCAACGAACTGCTATTCCACTGTAGATATATCGATGATGCTTTTATCCTGCATGATAATAACATTGATGTGAGGATATCAGATGGCGGTTGGAGGCAATCAGCCACAGGAAGCCTTCGACACCACCTAGGTTAGTTAGCAAGGCGTATCTACAACCAACTTGTGAAAGAGCAACTCATGCCCCCCCCCCCTGAGATTCGAACCCGCGTCACCCAGTGAGTACTGTCTGCACTGAGCTAGCTATTCGGGCTCGCGATTGACTTCCTGTAGGAGTGTAGCGGGTATTTTGATTGGATACTAGTTAGTAACTAGTGTGATGTGTCTAGTCTTTTCTTTGGTGCAGACTGAATTCTATCAGTCCGATTTATGATGAGTTTATGATGTGTTTCATGTGTGATGGCGAACTGACTTTTTTTGATAAGCAGCAGCAGCAACAGAGACAGTTCTTTCGTCTTAGTGTTTAGTACTCTTCAACAGCAATTACTCACGATCTCACTCACCGGGGATAGAATTCAAGACTCTGAGGACACAAGGCTATTGAGATTATCATCGGCAAATGTGTCTTTCCTTATGCCCAACCAGTTTGCTTCGTAATCTGAAAGTCTTTGGTTCGACCTCTTGGTAGGTGAAGTGATGGGTATGTGCTACTGATGAGTCACGAACTAGGCTGACGAAACAGTTCCATTATGGGTAAATTTTGTTTTGATAAAGTCACACAGTGTTATACAGTAATGTTTACTGATGACGTTTCGAGCACAATTTATTGCTCATAATCATATCAAGGTAATCACACGACTTCCTAACTTCATTTATATAGTTCATTATTTTTCACTTGATTTGATTGGCAGTAGTATTTTCCATATTTCAGGTATGAGTGATGAGTCACTCCTATTGCATGTGTTGGGTGTAGACTCGATGAACAAGCATTCAGTAATCAACCTCTCTCTCCACCTACCTAGATTACTTTTTAGAATTTTAACTCCCTCCCTACCATGCTATTGTGTGGTTGTGTGTTAGCGCATGCATTGCAATTTTTTGCTGGGCTCCTTTCTAAATTACTTATCTTCTCGGGGTCAACCATGTTTATCTTAGCTAAATTCTTATGTTCTGACAATCTGACTACCGCTGACTTACTAGTTTGACCTATGTAGTTGACCTAACTCACAGTCATTGCAGGGTATTTTGTAAATCATATTATTTTGTCTAATTGGGTCAACTGGGTCCTTTAAACTACAGAGCTTGTCCAGTTAATATGGCCTTAGAAGCAGTTAAAAAAAATTAACTGCGGATCCGGAACTCAGTCATAGGGCCAAGCTGTCCATTGAAGAAATTATTTTAGGGATTCAGTTATGTCTCACATCTACCATCTTTAAGTTCCAAGGCAAAATATATAGACAAACAGAAGGTGTAGTAATGGGATCACCAATATCCCCTATCGTAGCAGACATATTTATGGACAGCTGGGAAAATAGTGCCCTCAATACATTTAACCCTACTCCGAAAATATGGTGGAGATATGTGGATGACACTTTCACAGTGTTAAAAACAGAACACATCTCTAGCATCTTGACACATATAAACTCACAAGTTGAGGGAATAAAATTCACATTTGAATCAGAAAATGAACTAGGAGAATTAGCTATGTTAGATTGTAAGATAAAACGAATAGAAGAAGACAAACTACACACTAGTGTTTATAGAAAACCAATGCATTTTGCTAATAGATATTTAGACTTTAATTCATCTCATCTGTTGACTGTTAAGGCTGGCTTAGTTAAGTGTCCAACAAACCGAGCAGTAGTACTGAGTAGTACAAGAAAAGACCTAAATGATGAAATAAAACAGATAGAAGAGGCTTTGGTGTTAAACAACTAACTATCCTTTAAAATTCATTAGGAAGATCGAAAAAAGCCAAACGAAAAATAAAAATAATTGTGAAACTAGTAATAATAACATAAATAAGAGAGAATATAAGTCATCTACAGTTATACCATATAAAGAGGGGACATCTGAAACCCTCCCTACGTAGGATTCTAAATAAAGCAAGAATTGACTCACTAAGAGTCAAGCTCTGTAAGCTAAAGGATTCGGTGGACCCAATTAAACAAAATAATATTATTTACAAAATATCCTGCAATGACTGTGAGTTAAGTGAACTAAATAGGTTAAACTGGTAGATCGGGGGGTTATCAGATTGGTGGAAGGCAAGAATGGTTGACCCCGAGAAGATAAGTAATTTAGAAAAAAGCTCAGCAACTGCATTGCATGCATTAACATACAACCACACAATAGGGTGGGGTGGAAGAGGGTTAAAATTCTAAAAAGTAATCTGTGTAGGTGGAGAGCGAGAGAGATTGATTACTGAATTTCGCTTGTTCATCGAGTCTACACCCAACATATGCAATAGGAATGATTCATCACTCATACCTGAAATATGGAAAATATGACTACCAATCAAATCAAGCGAAAATTAAGTGTAAAATAAATAATGGAACTACATAAGTGAAGTTAGGAAGTCGTGTAATTAATTACCTTGATATGATTATGAGCAGTAATAAATTGTGCTCGAAACGTGGTTATCAGTAAACATTACTGTATAACAACACTGTGAGACTTTATCAAAACAAAATTTACGCATAATGGAATTACACTGTAACACCACAGTGCACAAGTTTTGATTCTTTGATTCATTGACGAAACAGTTGTTCAGTACTCCATATTTATTTTCAGCAGTTCTCTAGCTGATATCAACTTATTACGATCAAAATGTGTAATCAAATAATTTTGTTCTACAGGTTACATATTATGATCCATATGAATTATGGCCTAGTGGACATTGTCGTCGTGTCTATGCCCAATCATGTGAACGTGCACGTCGACATCAAAGTGGTTGGGCTATGCGAAATACAAATAATCATAATCCACAAGTGTTGAAAAAATCTTGTCTTGGTGTTTTGGAATGTTCAATGGGATGTTTAGTCCAGGGGAAACCGTTGAGTTTACGTCCAGCGATATGTGATAAAGCAAGGAAAAAACAATGCAGTAAGTGATATGTATATTTTTTCTGAAATTTTTTCATTATTTAATGATTTATTGATTATTTTTTTAAAAATTATTATTATTTTGTATTTACCCTACGAGTAGTTTTATTGGACAGAAATGCTCTGCCTTTGTTGACATACTGGCTCCCAATAGAGGTACCTTTATGATACTTACTTCGAGGCTGATATATCACGTTGTGCGGTTTCTGGTGGTTAACAGTGGGATCTGTGGCACGAAATCGAAGACTTACAAGCAAAACCGACAAACTGGTCGAAGAAGCAGCCGGCGAAGACAGGACTCCAAGTGAACATAGAAAAGACGGAGGTTATGAAAATAACCAACCAACAACAACAACAGCAACAGCAACATCCAGCGCCAATCACCATCAACAGGAGGGATTTGAAAGAGGTTACTTCATTCACTCACTTATCTAGGGAGCATTGTCTCAATTACAGGCAGTCGGAACGGACGAGGATGTCAAATCGAGCGAGAATCGGGAAGGCGAGAAACACATTCACTCATCAACCTGAAACCAATCTGGTAGGAAATCTTCGTCACTCAGCCAGCATCAACAACAAAATTCGGTCGGATTCAATCCAATACAAACAACGTCAAGTCAGTCAGTTCTTCTATACGCATTAGAAACTTGGCGGGTGGGTCACAAAGAATATTTCCAACAGCCTGTTTCAGACCTTTATCAACAACTAACTTTCTTCGCTGGATCTATACTGAAGATCAGATGGCCGGGCCGGAAAGAATCACCAACGAGAAACTATGTCTGGTAAAAACAAAACAAGAACCAATCAGTCACCAACCAACCAATATGCAGGAGAAAGTGGAGATGTATTGGACACTTGCGGCTGAGGAGGCTGCTGGATGACATCGCGCGCGCGTCAGGCCATTGTTCGAGTGGAACCAAGCCGAAAGGGAAGCGGCGAGTGGGACGTCAGTGGAAGGGTGACATGGAGGAGATCGTGTGAAGGGAGAGGAGTTGAAACAGTATGGACTAACTAACATGGATGCAGGTGAAAAGTACAGCAGAAGGAAGACAGAAGTGGCAAGTGGAGACGTGCAGTTGAAGCCTTATGTTCGACTAGGAACCCAAGGGAACAATAATAATACTACATGGAACTCTTTTCATCCTCTTAAAGACTTGTTAAATAAAAGGGGTGACCGTTGAAACCCAGCGGGTTAGTAGATCTACTCATCAAAGATACATTGGATGAAAGCTACGATACATTACTGTAAGCATGATACGCTATTAACTAACAGCTTATTCCCACTGACATCGTAAACTGACAGTCTCGAGCTCCTTTGTGTTTTTTAGCTACTGATATTAATCTAAAAATGACAAAATAAACAGGAAGTTCAGATATGAAAATATGGTAGTGTAAATAGGAGGGATTAAGAAAAACTTAAAAATAATATGAATAAACAGGAAGTTTAGATAAGAAAGGCGATGGGATGGTAATTACTAAGAAAAAATTACCTGTTTGTGATGGCCATGGCAGGGACAGGGTTTGGACGTATTTCTTTTGGATACAAAGCGTGCCTCGGCGATGCCCAGATGTCTTTACTTCACTCCCTTTGATAGGCTTGACTGAATCTTGTATAATACTTTGAAGGATTTTTCGAAAGGCGCTGAATGTCCTAAATTGACCAGATATTCTGTCACTGAACTATGTACACGTTTTCGGGTAGTGTTCACGAGCGCGTTTTTCAAGTCGGCGCATGGTACGGCCCATGTACTCAGATCCGCCAGAGAGCAAGTAAACTGGTATATGCACGTTAAGGTGGCCCAATGAGACAGCTTGCCTTTCACGTTCTAGCTGAACAGTTTCTCGCAGGAAAACGTTAGTCGTAGACTCGCGGCGAAGTATGTTTTCCTCAGAGATTTACACAGACGTTTACGAAGGATTTCTGCTTCAACGTTACCTTTGGATTCTAGATTAAGCAGAAGTATTTTCTTTGGAATGGATTGGACTTGTTCGGAAGTCTTCTTTGCTTTGAGATTCTTGTCTATGAACCTAGGTGGGAAACCGTTTTCCATCAGGGTTTTTTGGACAGATTACACAGTTCTTCTTCAATCACTTCCTGGCTGCATATCTTCTAAATCCTCAAGGAAGGAGCGTATATCAGGTTCCTCTTCCTACTAAAGGGGCACGAAGCTTTGAAAGTTGATATTAATCGATCAATAGATGGTGTGTGTGTTCTAGAACACTAGAACTTTAGAAACAAGTGAATCCAGCATGGCGAAATGAGGCCCACCCTACTCATTGAAACTACTCAATTATCAATGGCTTAGTAGTTAATTCTTTTTCAGGAATTAGTTCATAGGGAATTGATCTGTTTCAAGTTTGACTACAGATTGATGTCAGTTAGCAGAGAGAAACACTGGAAGACCAAAAAAGGAGTACTAGTCAGATGTTTTTACCTAGTTTGAAACTCTTCATCAGAACGTACCCAACCGAAATCCTTCTGTTTACAATGTGAGATTGTAGAATAACAAGCCACTGGGACCTGATACAATGACCAGTCCATGAATTATAACTTCTACCAACTCCGTGATTATTTTTAGCTCGACCAACGACGAATATCATCCGTGACGAGTTATTTGTCCCCACGTCCGATTGGGTGTGTATCCCATGACTTTTCACTAGACCTCTTGACAACTTCAACCTGTAGCCAGATGAATTTTCAAGAGTTCATCTGTGGGAATCTGATCTATTTCAAGTCCGACCACAGATGAATATCAATAGTTGAATGGTCAACAACCATTCAGGTGGTCTTTATTCAGCTGTCGGATGAAGCACACCTAAAGGTTACCTGGAAAGGAGGGAACTTCACTCTGTAAAGACAACATTAGTGCTATTAAAATTTCAAGAAAATTGATTCATTTGTAGTATAATAAATCGATAATATCAGAGTGTAGGAAATTGCATTTCAAATAGAAACTTAGACTAAGAGAGACGTTTCGTAACAGTGATTTTCTTCAGGTTATGTCTTATCTCACTACGCTGTGTACACTACGCTACAAGAACAACTGATTTATGCAATCTTACCAGTACCCAGATGCCCGTTCCTTTTTTAAACTTAAACGAAAGAAGACTAACCGAATTTTCCTCTGATTTATTTCATTAGCCCAAAACGTTCACTCTCTGCTGATATATGAATAAGTACCATCTCATCTACTATGAACAGAAAGAGGGTGCCGTGTCCCAATAACCTAGTACATAACATTTCAACATACTAAACAGTGGAGACATTGTGACTCGTGAGAGATACAGATACATGTGGTTGATGAATCCCAAATCGGTCGAAACGTGCATCCAGGATTCCACCACCGCTAGTCACCAACAACTGAATGATACTTTCCAAAGTGTCCGGAATGGAAGTCAGTTAGAGATAAACCACTATAAGACAAACAGAAATTGAATGAACAGGTGTTTCATACTAATTTAAAGATTCTTGAACGCCTCTGGGGCTTCGAACAACGTCTCTGACTGCACCACTGACTGACTCCTATTCGAATCTAAGAAGGGATATGAGTTCCTTTAAAAATGAAGATATAACTTATCTGGCGCCGGGTTCAGGGTGATCAAGACTGCCGGGTGGAGGTTCACCATTTCAACCTCGGTGGGTTGAAACTTGTGACGGACCCTAATCGGGTGCGCTTGGGAGTGTAGTTTTCCGCAGTGAGGATGCCTCACGGTCCTCCTTTTATAGTACGTCGGTAGCAAAGCGGTTAGGACTTTCGACAACCATGCACATGGTCCAGAGTTCAATCTCCTACCAACTCACACCTGATATGAATGGTTGGTCTGCAAAATTTGGGCTGCCTATATCACATCCTGAAGATCTCGCCCTTATACCAAAAGTACTGTGTTGAATCAAGCTATAATTGAAAAAAAATGTGTTAGTGGTGCACTGCTGAAGTGCTTGTCCATTTAAAAAAAAACACAGTCTTCAGTCCGATCCCCTGACCGACTCACTCCGAAACCTCCCTTAGTTAACAAACAGTAAGCCAGGGAGAAAGGAAAAGTTGAATGTGATGCTGACATTCCCATCTCGTTAAAATAGAGCCAGTCGGAACTCAAAAGGATGAAAAATTATCAACATTACTGATGCATAACTGTGTGCTAGACAGAGTTGAGGACAGTAGGAGAATTTTATGTAAATATTCTATTGTTCATTTACAGTGTCAGTCAAAATGGGATATCTAATAATGTCCTCCCTCCTCCGCATACACTTTTGTGGTACTTTGACATCTAAGATGATCAGATATTGTGGTAACTTCGTTTGTTTATTTAATTATGCATAAAATGTACTTCATTTCACGTGATTTCTTCAAGTCTGCCCCTCGCCTCACCTTCAATACCTTATACCGTCAAGTGTGAAAATAATAAACCCTATGGGTGAAATCAGGGTCCTCCTGAAGAAATTCATGTTAGGACGAAAGCAAACACTCAATGTTCATCTAATAGTCAGTGAATCATTAGCTATGCAGCTTGTTGTATATTAGAGTTTCATGATGAGAACTACAGTTTAGGTTAGTGTTAACAGTGTTGTCTACAACTAGACCCCCAGTAAACGAATTAGCGCAGTCGATGGAGTGGATAGATTTCCAACTTACTCTTGATCATGCATTCATAGCCGTTTCTTCCTGATAAGTCCTCTCCAATACCTTCATATGACAGGGGAGTGTTCCTCACAAAACTGAAACACCCAACGTGAACGGCTACCGCCTACAACTGGACTGATGAACATGAAAGTAGGTCTACCTAAAGCCAGCTGGAGAACCCTGATTCTACCAAACTTGTGGTGTACATAAGCTCCAGAATCTGAAAGGGATTGAATGGGTTAAATGAATCCAAATCCATTGGAACGCGGCTCGTGATGCTGCCCCACTGCCCTGTGTCAGAACCAGACTGCAAGTCAAATACTTGAAGATAAAGGTGGCCCCTTAAGATAACCACCTACTTCTGTCTGTGCGTTTTTGG